TTGGGCTGTGGTCGTTTCGTCTAAGCAACCCCACCAGCCTGGCGTCTTGCAAGTTTCTGTCCTTGTCCGTGTCAAGCTACTACTGGTGCTAGTGCTGGTGCTAGTGCTAGTCTTCGAAGTTGTCGTCTCAGTCCCATTGCTCTCGAAAAACTTCCATATAGTACAGTCTTGACAATCTGTATCCTCTTCGCATGTCGGGACTGTGTCATATTTTTCGATGACATCTCTGATCACACTATTGATGCGGTGAGTTCCCACACCTTGTCGCCACCCAAAGTCGCCAACAGTGTCGTATTGGCAAGTTTTGCCTGTATGGCAAAGGCCTTGGAAAGCATATCCCCATAATGTACAAAACGACCCAGCTGTATTGCACGTTCCCATAAATATCGGGTCCGCTGTGTGGCCAAAGTGATGTATGCTAACGAGATCACGAGACTGGTGGCTGCCGATACGATACCCTGGTGGAGTTGGAAGGCCGAGTCGTGAGGCAGCCAGGGCATCTGGGTAGGCTTCAAAGGTCATGGTAGGCAGGCCATAAGTCAGAGCTAGAAGAGACGAGACAACTCCTCCAAGGGAATGGCCTGAGAGCCAGACGTCCGAGCCGGGATAGCGCTCCGTGACGTTGTGATATAGATCCCTGACAGCCCAGTAGTAGTGGCTCTTCTCCCTCAAGTTCTGGACCAGGCAGGTGTTGTTGCACGTATATGCCGACGTCATGCAATCGCAGACCTTCTTCCACCAAACCGATCCGCCTTGCCCACAACAGCAGCTTCCAAAGAGATTGTCGTTCAATTTGTCATTGCCAGTGGTGTCTGCGCCGTCGAACAGTGCTGGGCTCGTCCCTTTCAACCCGATCACAATGGTCTTGTTTTCGGTGTCTGCAAATATGTGGCCCCTCAGCCCATCTTTTCGCCAGCCAAAATCGTCCGTATAATTGAAACCGCCACCCACTGGCATCCACTCACTGTCGTCTCTCTCAGACACGTAGGCGTTCGCTGCCATCTTCGCGAACGACAATACTGTTTCCTTGTCCGTGTAATTTGGGCCTGGGATGGTATCTACAGTCCAAGCAGAAGAGGGCAGGTCTTCCGCAACGCCATAGTAGTACGAGTGCTCAAGCAGATCATCCACCCTGGCCCTAGACCGGTCTGTCATTCGTTGTATCTGCGATGAGGCTACTCTTGCCCGCAGCGTCCGTGGAGCTGGCTCGAGGGTCTCGCCATAGTCGTCCGTGACCTGCACCTGCGCATCCGGAGAGATGTCTTTGAACCTGTGTAGATTTGGATAGAGGTGGGTACCATGGTGATAGATGTGCCTGAGGGTGAATTCCTTCTCGCCTAGATCTTCAGGGCTGAATTTCTGGGCAGTATCGCTACCTGCAAGAGGTGGCAGGATGTATGATGGTTGTTGTTGTTGCTGTTGCAGCCCCTTCTGCCGTGACGGTCGGGCGGCGGAAGCATCATGGCTCAAGCTGGCCACCAGCAGCAGACATTCGAGCGTAAGACTGCCAAACCTGCGCATTGTAGTAGCTGGTTAGTGATGGGTGCTACCGCCTCCAAAGGCGCATAATCGATCGTTGTTTTGCTACTGCGAAATGCCCAGAACCAGGCAACCGTATACCAGGAACTGCACCTCCAGGCATCAGTGATTACCCCAGATGCCAAACGCCAGACGCAAGACGCCAGACTGACACGCGCCGGGCGGATAACGTCACTGTCACTGGACTCTCTGTCTTCCGCTTTTCACGTGTCAGCAGCCCGCAGCCTTGTCTCTCTCTGGTCTCTTCCCTGGTGCCTGATCGGGCAATACGCAGCGGCACACGACAATCCATCATGCTCTACTACTAATACTACCTACACACTGCCCACGCGTCTCATCCCAATGATCTGACGGGTGCCTCTGGAAAGGCACCACCTAAGTCTGCCGTTCCAGCGTGCCCTTGCTATATAAGTCCGCTGCAGAAGCATAGCATCTCTATCTTTACCCAGCCATCCTGGCACTCTGGACTTGCGTCTGCCTACCATAGCCCAGCCGGAGCCGGCGGATGATGGCAGTGTAAGACCCGTATTGCAGGAGAGCAAGTTCAACCCAAGGCGACAATAGTAGTACCCTAATCATATGGACGTTGACTTATTTGCCTGGCCAGAACATCCCTCCACATCTTTGCATAATGTCTGTATCCTCCGCGGCTAACGAGGACCGCCCTCGAATGATCCACGTGTCGAGGTCCTTCACTCGCATGGAACCTACTTCTCCTGTGCCAGAGTCGCCACGCAAAAGAGCCAGTACCATGGCCGCATCAGGCATCCCAACAATTCCAGAAGCAAAGCATTTACCCATCTCTCCTGAGCTCGCAGGAAAGCGCGCCGACATCTTCGAATCCAAAGATGGCAGTGACGATGACCATTCAGAAAACGAAACACCGGACCTGCAGCTCCCGAGCACCTTTGACGAGCTCCCAATCGAGATACGCAGCATGACGGAGCGATTCCTCGAGAGTCTCTCTGCCAAAGTCCACCCCACTCCGCTCACTGCAGAAGCTCTGTCGGAGCTGTTCCAGGACTTCTATGCAAGAGCTGAAACACAGATAGCAACGCATATTGCCATCCTCACCTCTAGAATCGGTCGCGAGAAGTCGCCCGCTCCTTCGACGACCTCGAGGACCTCACTGAAAGGCAGGTCGCGGGCTGGTTCTGGAGCAAAGCGAGGCGACAGCCCCAGCAGTACCACCAGCGGTGGTGAGATGCTTACTGCTTCTGAGGTGGCACATCGGAGGCGGCAGCGAAAGCTGCTGGAGCTCAAACGGAATGCTCTAGAAGAGGCAGTTGAACGAGGTGTGTGTGAGAAGGTCTATGATCGTATCTTCAAACATAAGAGCACAGAGGATGATGCCAGGGACGGGAAGCTTCGGTCACGAACTGCAGCATTGGCCCTTGTTGGTATAGGTTTGAAGGAGCTTCACATGGATACCGATCCCGCTAAGGATGATGTCAGAAGGACTACTGAAGAGAAGGAAGATGAAATACATCGCTCCTTGTCCTCAGCGAGGGAAGCCTTACAACGTATGGATGATGTGCAGTACCCCCTTGGTAAGCTGCAACAGTTGACCACCGCGCACAAGTGCATTGTCGAAACACTTGCGCAGGTCTTTCCGTCCTCTTCGTCTGCCGATGAGATCCTACCAACACTCATATACACGTTGATCACCACACCTCCAGAGAACATCAATGTTGTGAGTAATCTCAACTTCGTCCAAAGGTTCAGATCATCCAGCAAGGTTGACGGCGAGGCTGCGTACTGTCTGGTCAACTTGGAAGCGGCCATCTCATTTCTTGAGACCGTCGACCTGTCTTCGTTACGGGCGGATGAATTGCCTCAAGGTCCAGCAAGGTCTATCAGCAGGCCTTCGACACCAACAGCAACTGACAAGCCCTCATTACTTAACGCTAACCCCACAGAAAATCGTAGTCTCTCTCCTGCAGTCTCTACTGTGACCACGAATGCGAGCGAGCTCAGCAGTAGCCCTCAAAGTGCTTCTCAGGCTCTGGATGCTCAATCCGCGTCTCCACCAATGTCAGCGTTAGCCAGTAGTCCTGTGCAAACAAAACAAACCCGCCCAACCCTGCATCAGCGCCGCCTCTCTTCCCTCATGCAGACACACGCAGATCGTATCGAGGCTGGACGACAAGACCTTCTGAACACGGCAGATAAAGCTTTTGACAGCATCAACAATACACTAGAGAACAGTTTCAAGTTCGTTTTTGGCCGTTTTAAGGAACAAGTTCCCGGCTCTGAATCGCTTCCTAAAACCCTTGAAGACGCCCAAAAGCTTATGAATCCTCCTACAACTGAGGAGGAGGACTCTCTGACAGTCAGCGGACGGAGCAGTCCTGGCATACCATCAGATGATCCGTTATCTACTAATGGCGGCGCAAAGGGTATTAGTGAGAACAAAATGCTCGAGTTGATTGGTGGCGCTCGTAAACAGCTTCGAGACCGCAGCGTCGACTCTTCCAAATCAACAGGTAGCGGACGACGTGTAACTTTCCATACAACAGGCACCGGAGCTGCCGCTGTTACTTCTTCAGAGAACATGCAACCACCGAGAGAAAGCAAGACATTGAAAGAAGAGCCTCTAGGAGCAGCAGCGAATTTCATCACGTCTATGAACCCGCTCAACCGCTTTGCTGTCCCTGGGTTCGTTCCTCGTTTTGGCCGAAGCCCCAGCCAGCACAACACACCAGCGCAGCCGTCACCTGCGTCTGACAAGGCCAGACAGCTTGGCGAGATTGTCGAAAGCCCTGCGACCATGAAGCCAGAGGGAAGGCCAGACTTCCCACCTCTCGCTGTTGCAAAGAGGGAAGCAAACAACAGGAATGGGATTGGACAAAGCGAGAATGGCGAAGACCCCTTGAATGCTATCGAGACTTTGGCAGAATTGCGAAGCATCAAACCTCCTGTGAAAAGGTTCTTAGATGTTAAAGATTCTAGCGAGTTGAAAATTGGAGAGGTGCAAGATCTGTTGCTGGAATATAGACGGCTCGCTAAGGCCATTGGAGATGCTATCGCCACATAGACACAAAGGAATGAAAATGTGAAGTCATCAAATCATCTCTCTTTTGCGTCACATACCAGTCCCATTGGGTCGGAAGTAGACAGAGGGTTAGGTCCCATGACTCGTTCTTTAGATTCTGTGAGGATTGTAGATTTTGTTCAAGCATCTTTGGCATTATAGCATCTCGCCAGGGAACATTTCTTCATTTGTAGTTTCCCTCTGTCTTGTAACCTGATGTATTGTAGTCTAGTTGGAGGTGAGTTCCTTCATATTATACCTTCTGTTGCTTTACAGCCAAAGCCTTTAATGACAGCCTACTCCATTCGCTCGGATCCTTCTGTAAGAAATAGCTCTTCCGTTCACTGTGTTCCAAGATTGTCGTGCCTCTACGCAGGGAAAAAAAAATGTCATGCTACTGTCGCCGTACGTTATGTGCCGCCCAGTTCGACACCGATGGGACTCGAACCCACAATCTTTGCCACCGGAAAGCAACGCCTTACCATTAGGCCACGGTGCCGGTGAGTATCATCACCGAGTCTTGGCAAATGTGTTGAATTTATATCCCTTTCTGTTCCAGCTCCATCAAATCAGTATCTGACACGATTCCAGGCATGGTTGTGTCGTTTATTGCCATACGACACCTTCGATGATGTACAAGATGAAATACATCGTCGTGATGTTACCAGAAACATCAGATTATTCAAATCACTTCCAGTGCTTGTTCCAATCTACGTCGTTGTTATCCAAGACTGCAAAGTAAATCACGGAAAATGATGCAATCAGAATAGCATGTATCCGCAGGCACGAAAATGAAACTTTCTGGACTGATGCAAGTGTTGAGACTCCGACATTGCTATACATGATGGCTATTCACCCAGCATTGAGTCCGTAGATTATATTTAGACAGTAGAACCCGACATTCATTGCCTTCATGCTCTCGCTTGCAGAACAGGGATATGCGGTCCACCGGGTCCCCGATCATCTCGACATCAATTTCGCGAAGTCTATGCGAACTCGGTAGAGCTTCTGTTGTTAGATCTTCTAGCTGCGGATGAGCCGTAAGCGGGAAGTCGTCCTGTGCATGCAAGTCTCTATAAAACCCTTTCTCTTCGAGCTCCATCACCTTCCTAGTAATGACCGCAGCTATACTTGCATCCCAGAGGCCTTCCCGATGAGAGGTGCACTCTAGCAGTCTAACAGCCTGAAGTCTAATGCGGTGATTTCGGCAATTGATTGCCGTATAATAGAGTGGTGGGATCCAGCCCACATCCATGATTGAAATGGCCATGTCCACACGATGGCCGGGCAAGGGATGGATTAAAGGGACAATTGTTAGAATCATGGCCCATGCATCCGCCAAACGCTTGATCATTGACAGGAATAGATCAGTGTGTGCGTCATGTATCATCTCGTTGCCTGGCTCGAGGCAGGTGTACGCCATTATAGTAGCGAGAATATTGTAAGTGATCGGTATCCGAGCGCCATTAAGCTCCTCCTCGGTCATGTGCCGTTGCATGACGTCGATAGATGCTTCGTGAGTTCTCCGCCAATGTGCAAGGTCTTCCTGAATACAGATCTGGCGCTCGACTAGCGCATGTGATCGTTTAGTGTAGCCTTGTTCAGAGACGCTGCATCGACGGGCGTCATAGCCAAGCCGAAACACTTTGCGCAAGATGGCTTCGAGCACGAACCAAGCCTCTTTAGTTGAATGGAAGACAAGAGTTGGAGTACAGACGTCTGTGTCAATATACCAGTCCACGTTCGGATGATGGTGGATGTGCTTAAACAGCTGCACCTGTAAATGGAGCCTAGACATTATCTCAAGGATCCAATTGTCACAAGAATCTTGAAAAGTATCCGGGGCTTTTTTCATTTGTTTAAGAATGTTGATTCCCTTCTGTAGATGGTTCTGGGACATTTTGAATTGCCCACGAAGAAGTTCCAATACGACAAACACCACGCACGTTATCAGGGTAACACGGCATGACATCCTGTCCTCTACAGCTAAATGTGATCGTAAGTACTGGATTGCTTTGACGTAGTGCTGTACTGGGAACAAGTCTTGCTCTGTCGAAAGGGCACTGCTCTTATGTTGACCGCGAGATTTCACTGTCTCTATCCTGTGTACTGAGCTCAACGCGAGTATAGCGTGCAACACTGCTGGCTCATCGCTGCTGGCTTGCAAGACTAGTGTATCCCAGAAGCGGGAAAGGAAACTCCCGGGTATCTTGGGGGCTACCCTGCATTTGAACCATTCAAGGTAAGCTATTCCAGAAGGCGATATCAGTGAAGCAAGAGAGGGAGGTTGACGCAAGAGCATACAGGCCTCCTTCACAGGCCGACTGCTGTAAAGATTGCCGCCTCCTCCCCAAATTCCGTAGCCCTCACAGACGCGGCCGGTGGAGATGCATCGATTGCAAGCTGGACGACTTTCATCGCATTTAACCTTTCGAGACCTAGATAGTACGGATCAGCATTCAGCAGTAGATAGTAAGTTACGGATATTGATATAGCTGACTTGCAGGTCTTACACCCAGACTTGACCTTTGCTTTAGGAGCAGGCCGGTTGTGGCGTGTAGCGGTAGCATGAATATTACAAGACATACCGACCCAGCGACCGTATGATCTTGGTGCCAACGTGTCAAAGCTTGCTACTATAGGTGACGAGACTGTATTCTCAATGCGGACTGCGGTGTCGTCCCCGTACGTTCGCTGCAGCGAGTATGAGCATAAGAACCTTCTCGATCTATCTTGGTTCTATCGAAGGAATGCACTTTACTGGGGAACGATACGGCTATACTCACGGCTAACGGGGGTTGATCTTCGAGACGCGGTGAACTCGACGGATGTTCCGAGTTGCCTGAGGTCTGATTCGCCAGCTCGGATTTTGCGGCGTTTGATTGGCTGCGCAGAATCCTCTTGATAAGTCCTTTCCGTTCAAGCAAAATGTAGTCGAAGTAGGACACCGCAGACTACGAACAGGTATCTCGTACGCTGCATGTGTTCAAAGGTGGAGGTCTCTTTGCAGATACCACGGCACGGTTTGAAATGTAGCATAGCCATTACTCTTCTGCTCGGAAACTTTGGCTGCTGATTGGGTCGTCAGACTAGGCAGTACAATGGCTACCAGGAATTGGTGCACAGTCATTACAACTTATGTTTTTCGAGAGTGAGGAAATGATTGAAATGGTCTTGGAATCGAAAGGTATAAACGTCGTCTCCCCCATTGTTTGAAACCGAAAAATTACTAGTAACCTATATTCCAATACATTTCACATACTATACTGTCAAAAGCACTCAGCACAATGCCCATCAAAACTACCAAACTAGGCACAAATGGGCCACAAGTGGCAACCTTGGGTTTAGGTCTCATGGGAATGTCCCTTGGGAACTATGGATCGACCCCAAGTGATGAAGAGCGATTTGCAATACTTGACCGAGCTTACGAAATGGGTGCAACCTTTTGGGATAGTGCCGAGTAGGTGTCTAAGAATTAGCAACCCAATCAAGCAGTCATTGCTAATCTATCTTGCTATTGAAGTCTGTACGGCGACAACGAAGAACTTGTCGGGAAATGGTTCAAGCACAGTGGGAAACGAGATGAGATATTCTTTGCAACTAAATTCGGGTTCATCAAAGGCAGTCGAACATTGGAACTCGACAGCTCTGGGGAATACTGCAAAAGAGCCTGTGCAGAAAGCTTGAGGCTCCTTGATATTGACTACATTGACCTTTGTATGCCGTCTATCACCTTTGAACATTCTTCAAAGACCCTTGAAGTCGCTAACTATAAGCATTCACTAGATTACTTGCACCATGCTAATCCAGAGACGCCCATCGAGGAGACTATGCGAGCCATGAAGGAACTGCAAAAGTGAGTCTGCGATCAACACCTGTCTATTAAGTGCTCGTTTAACCAACAAACGTAAAAGGGAAGGCAAAATCAAATACATCGGGTTGTCAGCGGTCTCCTCCACGACACTTCGTCGTGCGTACAAGATAGCACCCGTTGCCGCAGTACAGGTGGAGTATTCTATCTCAGTGCTGGACGTCGAGAACTCTGCCGGTACCGACTTGTTAGCTGCATGCCGCGAACTCGGTGTCGCACTTGTGGCAGCTACACCACTTGGAAGAGGGTTGCTCACTTCAACGTTCGCAAAAGGCGAGGCTTTGGGCGATAGCAAGGACATCCGACCACTTGTGATGCCACGCTTCATGGAGGGCAACCGGGAGAAAAACGCCGAGCTCATCACTCAGTTCCAACAAATAGCCGACAAGAAGAACTGCACGGTGTCTCAGCTCGCTCTCGCATGGTTGATGAAGCAGGGTGACGACATCATCCCTATTCCAGGCACAAGGCAGATGAAGTATCTGGAAGAGAATTGTGGTGCACTCAATGTTGAGCTCACTGATGAGGACGACGCTGAAATCAGACGCTTTTCGGAGAGCACTGAGGTTGCTGGTCACTACATGCCTCCCAGGTTCGCGCATTATTTGTTCAGAGATACTGCTGAGGAGTTGTAGTCTTGTCGGTCATCTGATGGAGTTCAGCTTCAAGCGCGAAAGCTTGCTGTGTTTGACAGGCTACTCTCCTTACGCAAGTCTACCCCCTGCCAGAGCCTCAGATCAGCACGTATGTGGATGACGATACGCTCGAACAAGTCTTAATACAGCTTCTGATGGACGTTACTGCATGCGCGGCTTTTAGAGACTTGTCCATCGAGATTAGTGAATCTCGTCTCTAGCTCTGCCGGATCAAAGGCGTGGTGATCTCTTCCCGAGTTTGCAAAGAGTGCGGGGAAGGCCAATGCCAGATCCAACTATACTTCTCTAGCCAGGCACCAGTCCTAGTTTTGTACGGAATAAGACGTCATATTCTATTATCATGACGGCCCCATCGTTTGGATGATTTGCAATTGTCGCAGGTGGAGGTCCGTATGCTATGTGCGGCGCTTTAAAGGAAAGATGGCCGCCATAGGGGATTCAGAGGTGTCCCATGCAACCCCTCTGTACTCGCGGCCATGTCGTTTACGAAGTTCTCCTGTTGCGTCTTGCTGCTTGCAATCTTTGGTCAAGGTAATCCTAACATCGATACATGTGATCCAATAAAATCCCTAATTAACACAACGTAATTTCAGCGCAAACAACACTCGACCAGCCGCCTGGTCCAAATACCTACACACCCACACCTACTTTAGCTTCATCGTACTACATAGCCCCAAGTGTGACACCGAACATCCTGGACCCAACTGCTCAGGATGCTCAGAAGGTCTGCCCTGGATATAAGGCCAGCAATGTGCAGCAGACTGGGAATCGCCTCACTGCTGACTTGACCCTGGCTGGGAATGCCTGCAACGTCTACGGGAACGACATTATCGATCTAGTGCTTGATGTCCAGTATCAGAATGCAAACCAGATGAATGTGCGCATCTTCCCACGGTATATCGCGCCTCAAAACCATTCATGGTATATTCTAGACGACTTTCTTAGTCCTGTTGGGATTGCAGAGCCTGGTAG